CTACAACGAAATAAGTAGGTCATCCGTCACCAGCAGCGGCGATCGTCAAGGTTGCCCTAATTCGTCGTTCCTGTTCAATTTCGTCGTAGACGAAATACATGAGAACACACTTAGTGGTCTCCGAAACGAAGGTATCGAGTGGGTAGCTGGAGAAAAAAACTGCGCGATTTAGAATACGCCGATGATGTCACCTGTTTGTTCGAATGTATGGAGGATGCGCCAAGTGCTCTTGACACACTACCAAGTTCTGTAACTCCTTTCGGTTTGCGCTTTGCACATTCGAAGTACAAAGTGATACCACAAAACTGGATACCATCTACACCAGCGCTGATGCTTGATGGTTGAGAATTAACTGAATTGGAATGTTTCACCTACTTTGGTAGGTATTGAATGGGCAGGAGGCTGTGCCATTTAGAACACACCGACGATGTCACCTGTCTGTTCGAACGTATGGAGGACGCGCAAAGCGCACTTGATAGACGAACAAGTTCGGTTGCCGCATTCGGTATGTGCTTTGCACCTACAAAGTGCGAAATGACACAAGAGGATTGAGTTTCGACTACTCCCGCTCTGAAACTGAATGGTCAGGACTTAGTTATGGTGGATTATTTTTCCTACTTAGGTAGTTGCGTGACCAATGACGGTAGCGCAGTAAAGGAGGTAATCGCACGTGTTTTCAAGACTCGAGCGGCATATGCAGGACTGAAACATAGTTGGCGTAGACGCTACGTCTCACTGAAGTTGAAAGGTCATGTATATTGTCCTAGCGTTCCTTCAGTCCTGCTTTATGGTTGTGAGACCTTAAATTTGCGAGTAGAATATATCCATCGATTAGAGGGTTTTGATTATCGGTGTTTACGCAGTTTAGCCCACGTTGGATGGAACGAACGGGTTAGTAATGTGGAGGTAAGCCGTCGTGTTTGTTGGGAGTCTATCAAGGATGTACCTGATAGCGCACCGAATTCAGATTAGTAGACTTCGCTACATAGGGCATGTATTGCGTAGGTCCAGTCATCGTCTGTCGCACAGCGCTTTATCGCTGTAGCCCCAGCGGGCCGGACGAAGCCGCCCGGAGGTCAGCAGACGACGCGGAGACGAGGCATGGAAAAATACACAGCCATTAGGTAGAGTAGGTGTCTCTCGTCTTTCAGATTGGGGTCCGAAAGACTCCCCAACTGGTTGGTAGGAGACATTGAAGGAGATGCCAGCGAACCGACAGCAGTGACGTTCTTGTTGCCGTTTCCTATCAGGTCAGAATGCTTGAAACCGTATGTATGCAGAGTTTGATTGTGCAGTGTTGACCATAGTGGTTCACATTCTTTTCCCTTCCTCAAAGTGGATCGAATCCTTGTTCACTTCAAATTTTACCACTAATCTTGTATGCATTGCGAGTTTGGCAGCGATCAGTGAAGTTCGTCTCACTGAATTTCACTGTACGATGATGACGATGATGATTTGTAACGGCTCATAAGGCCCGTTTTTATCACTGGTCGTTTACTCGGCTCATGGGGAATATCTGGCGAAGTTGGTTCTTCTTTTGGCAGGTGGAATTAACAGGACTACTCACTGACATCGCGCATTTCAAACAACAAAATAACCTCAATATTGACATCAGAAAGCGCAACATGTATTTGGCGGCTATGGTAGAGTAGTGTTGGTCACCATTACATCTCCACAGTGCTAGATGCGAACCCTCCCACTGCCACCAAACTAACCTCACTTCATTGTATTTAATATCAGTCCTTTAATCGAGCACTTGAAAGTTGATAGCAAAATAATGTATCTAATAGACATGAAGAAAAGGATCTGCGTGGATTCGAATCTAAAGGATATTCAAGACAATGAATGTCAGAAATCCACACATTGGATGGAACCAAAGCGATGAACAGGATCCAAATTAGCGGTAGGTGGCGGTAGGTCGAAAATGTTTCAAAAGAGCCCGTGAAAATTGGTGGGCAAAAAAATGTGGGTGAAATGGGAGTATATGCTGCCACTGCTTCGGTGAATAGTCAAATGCGGATCTCATGGATAGGTAACACCGATAGGCCGGCGAAACTGGGATTGTGAAACAACCAGTGATACAACTGGGTTAGCCAGTCCAGGTCCTAGAGCAACACCTTGATTGATAGACAGCGTATTTTAAAGCACAACTTAGCTGGTTTGGGGTAAGTTGAATCACACCGGCGTTCAGTTTGTACCTCCGTATCATCAGACCAAGAACTGTATTCAAGGGAAAAAGTATACACAGCTAGACCTGAAGGGCTGCCACATCATCCCATTTAAGAAGAGGGTGACCACCTCGCAGACGGTGGTACTGCCTTAGTGCATATCTAGTCGGGAAAGCGTTAATTATTTACGTAAAGTAATTATTTGAATGCAAAGAAGTCAATTCTGCGAATCGGAGATTCAGTTCATTTTCAGTCTGTGCAATCATTTCAGTTTCACTTAGTACAACCATTAACCATCAACTATTGTGCAGTGGTTTGGGGTGTTGTCATAGTACTCAGGTATTCAAGAAATGCAAAGGTGTTGGGACATGTGCTCTAGATAAACGCCGAATAGAATGATTCCCACCTCATGGGTGGTGGTGGCGCGGTGTGTTAGTCGCTGTCACCAGGGTGTTTTGGACCCTATAGTCTAAGGTTCGAAGCCCGCCATCGCCACCCAACTTTGGTGGTAGGTAGCTTTGCTGTCGTCCGGTTCAATAGCACGTCTGACCTAGCGGGGCTCTATGTAGTTCGCCATTACAAGTCCCGGGTTATACGTTACCGGTTCCAATTGCTGAATAGCAAGAATTCGTGACTATGGGGTCCAACCGGTCTGCAGTTTATCACACAATGTATAACAAAAAATATCACACGTACAACTCCGTCCACATGGAGTCAGAGTTCAGCTTTAATCATTTAGGAAAACGACCCAGTTAGTGATGCTTTTAAACTTAAACGATAGAAACTACAACCAGACAACTAGTATAAACAAAGGGATCGATGTATGAGTGATTTCGTCGCTTAAACATTCAGCTACAACCGAGAAATACCGCTAATTTTGAGCAGAACAGTCGACAAACAATTCAACCAAAAACACCGCAGAACACATTTAAAACACGCAAAACCACCCGCCTTGATTATCGGAAGCAAGTTACGCGGATTCCTTCTCAGACCATAACTGAATCTGAATATTTTAGTTTCACAAATAGCCTCGGGTTGTGCGACGACGGACAGGTAGGAGATCGGTATGAATTAGGCATTCCAAAGGTCTACACGAGAAACAGTCTGATGATACCTTTTCAACCGTAAACCGTGCACACACACACACACACACACACACACAAACAAACAAGAGCGATTGAGCCAAACAAGATACAAAATAGGTATTTCTTCTGAAAGCGACTGCATTTGAGTTTTTCTCTTATTTTTATAGCAATCCCAATTTGAACGTCTCCACCATGGAGTCCATCACTCTCATTCAATGTTTCTCACACTGATTGACAAGATTCAACGGTCCGATCCCCTCAAAATTCTATAAGTAGTGATGTTCTCTGCTCATTTTCCATATGTTTGTAGCATGCCTCTTGACTGACATGCAACGACTCTAGTGATCGCCTTGTCATTCTTCGCTGTTAGGCTAATGAGAGGCCTGCTTTGACTCTCGCTCACTGATTACTGTGCTTTAGATTTGGGATAGTCGTTTTATGCTTACAGGTGAGGGATTCGACCGTTTTTAGATTATGTTTTGCACTGTGTTGTGGTCGTGTGACGTCGGAACGGACAGTCTTTGTGATTGTGAATATAATATCAAGGCGATTTTAAACTGGTTGTGTTATCATCCCAATATGGCGTGTGTGTGTCTACTATCGGTGAGAGATCCATTGGTGGGTATTTCGACATGCTGTGTACTACCAGACGTCACAAAAAGCGAGCGTTAGTTGAGTGACTCTCATGACAGTCCCAGTACATCCCGAGCGCATTGACTAGATAGGGTGGAACGGCAAAAAAAAAAACACCATCACAAAGTAAGAATGGAATTTGACAATGACAGAATATTCGGTATGGATAAGCATGACTTGTGGACACAATTGGGCGGGGGATCAGAGTGAACATCATCAACAAAGCTCGACCAAAACACAAGGAAGAATTTCTTTCTCGAGGCTCGGTACGGTACACACAGAATCGGACCACACGCATAGCATCATACTGAATAACACACGGTTCTCAAGATATTTTCCATTTTAATTATCTAACGACTGAAATATCAGCTTGTGTATCTGAGATTTGATCAAACTTACATAATCCAGTCACAACCATAGCACCCAGTTCACCAAATGCGTCTCCTTTACGATAGGTCCATATTCGACCACCAACACGATCCTGGGTGAGAAACAAACAAAATAAAAATAAAGAAATCAATACATGTGTCGGTTTAGTAGCATTTACGATGCACATGTATGATAACCCTGAAAGATCAGATATCACTGCATGTAACTGGAATTCACAGAATAATAAAACTGGCGTTTGACACACGCACATCGAGAGAGAGAGAGAAAGAGTAGCTGGGTAATAGTAAGCAACAAATCAAACCTGACAACCCCATTACCCGACAGAATGTGCAGATGTACATGTGACATCGAAAGAGTGAAAAAGAACATACACTTGGTCCGGTTGAATAGTAAGAAGAAATGCAGACAGTCGTTTTAAAAGCAGGCCTGGTGAGTGATCACGCGCGGACAAATCAGATCCAACGAGAAAACAA